GCCCTAATTATAAGCGGGAGACTTAAGGAGGCCGTTCTTTTGCTGTATCAGCAGCAAAACCTTAGAATAACGTGCCTCTAAATACTAGAAAATCAGACTCCGTTAAGTGCTTAAAAACTCATTTATTTAAAACAATCTTCGCAGCGCAGCAATATTTTAAAACCATTTTAGGATTTAGCTTTTATATTTATATTTAAGGAAGTTTTTTAATATTATTGTAATTCAACTTTTCGCGTCTCTCATGATTTTAGGTTTTAACTTTTACTATATCGTATATTTGTATTCATGGTATTGTTCATTTTTCATCAGGTTCGTAATTTCATTTCATTAGGTTTGTAGTTTATTGGTATTGGTATTGGTATTAGTATTATTATTATCCAACTGCAGCGAATACCATCCAAATAACAATACAAATATACAACGATATTGTACAGTTATTTGTACAGTAGAAAACCTGTTTGCCGGACAGGTCGGCGCACGCATGCAAAACTGTCACACTCTCCCTCTTTCACTGATAAATTTATTGACTAACAGCAGTTGAATAATAAATCTCTTATTAGATGTTTTCGTGTGTATAACACTTTATATTTTTACTCGTTGTTTGTATTTTGACTCACCCTACGGGCCCTACTTATTAGCATTAGCATTAGCATCAGCATTAGTATGAAATACTGCTAGTTACTTGATGCTACAGAAACTAGAGATAAGCGCCAGCCTGATAGGCCACTTGGCTGGTTTGCAAACTTCTCGCAGGTCGTAATAGTTATTGTAACCTAACCATTTGTGTTTCCTTTTTCAGGTTTGGTTGCTGACAAGACCAGGTCGTATTATGCAACTTTTTTTTCTGCCGGTGGCATTGAGACTGTCGGACTGTTAATTTTACTCATGTTTATTTGTCTTAAGAGAGGCGAATTAACAGACAAAAAATTCCAAAACGAAACTGGAAAATCTTCTTTTACAGAACTGCTTGTCATAGACAGCGAAACCGTTTTGTAATTAGCTGTAATCACAGGTGTCCCAAACTCACGATGAGAATCGATCAAATATTAACGGACAAGGTCACTCCAAAAGCTTATTATTTTTGTATTCGCCTATAGCAAGTAAACATCCCGTTTTTCCACTCATTGAAGTTTCAGCCTCTGAAGTGCCCGCTATCCTGAAGAAATTTGTCTCAAAAGAAGCGACTTTGGACGCCGCCATCTTGAAACTGTCTTGGCAGCCAGGCTGTGTTTATGTGACGTCATTCCATCCGACTCGAAATTGCCGGGAAGGAGTGGCATCCATCACAAGGTCTGCAAAATCTATTTTTTCCCTAGCGTTTATCCTCTTCACTATCTTCAATGCTATCATTTCGGAGTTTGGAGCATGTTTGGCTCAAAATAATATGGCTTAAGAGCAGCCATAAGAGTGCTGGTGAAAAGGCTTGTCGGAAGCCATTTGAACAAAATCTCTCGGACGGAATGACGTCAGGAAAACGCGGCCCGGCTGCTGAGTACTGTTCAAAAATGGCGGCAGCGATGTTCGAATTTTGGGCTTATTTAGAGACGAATTTCATAAGGAAAACCTGCACTTTAGAGGCTGAAACTCTGGTGAGTGGCTAAACTTAGTGCAAGGTTTTTATCAACGTTGACAAAAAATATGCGTTTTTTTTAGTGACCTTCTCCGGCTCCTAATGATTTATGTACGCGTATCGAGTGAGACGTGACCACCTTAAGTGTGCGCTGTTGTGTTACACTTTGGGCCGTTGGAAAATTTGAGCTCTCTAAAAGGCATTGTATGGAGTTTAAAATAACGAAAGAAAAAACGCGCAACGCATTAAAATGTTACTTGCTTTTTTTTAATAGAAGAACGAAAATATACACACCTTGCCTGGTTTCTGTTGTCCTTTTGGCCCATTTCATCGTTTTTAGGGGTCTTTTAGGTGTTCGTAGCAGCTGCTACAAACAAGCATAAGTGCGTTTTCAAAGTTAGGCAGCACTTCTGGTCACAAAAACGGCACCTGTCTGAAGTAACTCTAACGTCGCGTTGACTAGCATATGAAACACTTGCTAGTACAATGGACCATATTCGTATTCTCGGTGTTAGACTGGAACTAGCTTACAATGGAGGCTCATGCGGGGGATCATCATTAAAAATCCCAGATCCCCCACATTAGTGTCAGTTGCAAGCTAGTTCCAGTCCAATCCCGAGAATACGAATGTGGCCTATTGATAAAGTCCTCTCAATAACGAGAAGACGGTGAAAGCTTTTTCTTTTACCCTAGTCTTACTTTGTTGGTGACGGTCATAGAGTAGCCTGAAATGCCATCATCACACCTCCCATATAAACGCATTACATAATAAACTTGGCTTGTATGTTTATATTGCATTTTATGTCATGCCATAAAAACTGCAGCCAATCAGAATACTGGAAAGCCGCGGTGTATTTGACGGTACATGTATTACACCCACCCTTCTCATCGTGCTCCGCGCGTATGTCACCTCTCTGTCGCACTGATTCTGGACCATTGTGTTGGCCACTGTATTGTTTATATATGGCATGGTATAAAATAATTATGCAACACTCTCTCGTGGTCGAAACACAGTTTAATATATTCATATAAAGTGTGTGGATCATTGTATAAACGTAGGTCCAAAATGTCACACCTAGAGAAGAAAACAGCTTCATAAGAATTCGTGAGGCCTTGGAAATTCTTTGCCGACGCTCAATCAAGAGCGGAGATTGAACTTCCCGCCCTATACGGTGATGTTTTGGCACGTGACCTGGTTCCCTCAAGCTCATGAAAAATAGATTCCCTCCACATTCACTTGAGAAAGACGCTGTGACAGCGTCGCAAGCTTGTGATCGCTATACTAAAATGAGATAGCTTTGTATTTTTTGACGAATATACATAAACCATTTATTTCCAGCAAAGTGACCATGCTGACATATTTTTCTCCTCGTAAATTTAAAATAATTTCAATAAAAATTTTCTCTATGTAATTTTTCAGCGCGTGTGTCAACATAAATTTGATTTAAGAAATAAAAAAACATGCATCGTGTTTTTATCGAGTTATAGAGACACGATTTTTAACCAATTAGCGCGCGTATTTTCTTAGGGCTGTTTTCTAAATGCAGGTAACGCACATAATGGGAGGACAGAGCACTTCATAAAATGAGATGAGCACTCGAGAAAATTGCTTATAATTATTTGTATATGTCTTTTGCAAAAATTGACAGCGCGAACAAAAACAAATTATGCAAATATCAGGGATTATTTTTGTGAATTATTTCCCTTTTGCCTGTTTCTTTCTCCTGAAAATCCAAGCGGTACCTAGCGCCAGCAGTCGTATTGGAAGATTTTTCAGTCTTGTATTTTAAAATCAGTAGAAAACGCTGTGCGGTGATTGCTTATTTATTAGCGTGATGAAAGCGGGAAGATGGTTTGGTTGAAGGTAAGCGTTATTTATAGCAAATCGAATATGCCTCTCGATTTAATGATTTAACTTACAATTTTGGGGTATCTAATTACAGAGCAAGATAAACAGCATTCCTGTTTTGAAGGCGTTATTGTTTTTCCTTTGTTTGAAAATGAAACCGGTAACGAGCAGGTTGCGCCGGTCTTGATGGGATCTTGTGCTCCTTTCTTGTTGTTCGTGGAAGAAGCTCCAACTACAGCTGTGACCTGGCCTGACAGCGTTTCACGGTGAGTAGACTCTTGTGGTTTAATATATAAGGGACTAGTTTACGTTGTCTTTGAAGCGAATACAGTAACGTAGAAGTCGCTTAAGTCAGTAACGCCATCTTAACTAAAGTAGAAACCACAGTACTGTAAACAAAGGCAAAAACGAATACACAGACGCACATAAACGGAACATAACCGTGTATCGTCACTTTCGTCCATAAACCCATCCTGATTCTTGAGAGAAATTCTGACGAATGTTGTTCTGAAATGATCCAAGAGCTATCAAAATACCAGAAACAGTAAGTACGGAAACAATACTGATGCTGCACCCTTAATTTTATTTTCCATCGCGTGCACACGGCGGGCGGGCGTACAGCACTGCTGGCATCAACAGGGTCTTTGTAATGTGTTTCTAGGCCCCAGTGCAGTATCTTTGAGCTTTCCTACTTGTAGGGGAGCCGCAAAACCCCCATAAAGCCCTCACGTTCTTACAGTAACGCAATAATTAACGACTCGGGGATTATGCTTGTACAGGCTATTTATGCTTCTGTGTGTGTTCAATATCTACTTACTATCATGTTGATCAGGCAATAGCATACTCTCGTTGTGTCTAAATGGCCTTTAGTTACGAGGTTAGTTTGAAAGCGTCCTGTTTGGTAAAAGAAAGGGAAAAGGAGAATAAATCGATGAAAAAACCCGACACTATTGAATTTGATTTTACTGGTGGTGACAGATTATCGCGAGCGGGGATTTCCTTTCGTCTGGCACACGCGTTACGAGCCGATTGTTCAGAGCAATCACGCGATCACGTCCCAATAATCAGTTTAGCACGTGTGGCACGTGATAATCAACCTAAGATTCGATACGAGACATACGTACGAGTATGAACTCTTGAATGAACTTTAGACAACAACAACAGTAAATGACCCTAATATGACCTAAGATCAAGGTGGCTATGGGCCACTCAACTTGGAAAATGGATCGTCTGTAAACCAGAGCAATTGACGGCCCTGAACTGAGTTTTTGATCTGTAGGTCATAGGTACATTACGAGTCCGAGGATTGTTAACATTGTTGAAAACCAAGGTTTGATTTATTACAGTGGAAACTTGTTACAATATTTTGGCTCTATTTCAGGCCCCACTTTCAGACTCATGTGGTTAGATCAAAACAAGTGGACAGTTTATCTATCAAGGCTAATTAGGCCTATAAAAAGCAATGACATAACATGTATCGAGCTAGAGAGGCGATAAGTAAAGGTAATAGGACTGAGTGGAGTCCAATTCGGTCTGTAATCGTATCTATAACAAAGTTCTAGGTCGTGATTGGTTCTGCGCGCGCCTTTTTGTCACTTAATCGGCGCGCGATCACGTAGGTGTCCAATTGCAGGTATCCAATTTCGCAATTGGATACCCATGTGATTCGCACGTCAATTACGCGCGCTTCAATTGCTTCAATTCCTTCTCGATGTTTCCTACAGTTTTTAAAATTTATGAAAAGCGCTACAAAGTTTTTAGCTCAAAAAAAGGTCTCAAAAGGCATTTTTAATTCCGAAATTTGCTATAGATACCATTACATAATTTGTAATTGGACCTGGTGTCGTACAATTCAGGGAGTAATCGTGCTCGTAATTTTAAATCAGCCTCGCGTTTTGAAATTACTCGCGCGATTACTATCTGAATTGTACTCCACTCGTTCCAATTACTATTACTTACAACACAATTTGCGTCACTTACTCAGGTTTCAAAAGGTCGGGTGCAAATATGCATAATAAATTTCTGTTGTTCAGAAGTTCTGTTACTTAAAACTCAGAAAAATAGTCAAAAACAAGTTTTCCTTTTTCCGTGTCTTTGTTGCATTAGCCTTTTCTTAACATCCAGGCGTCTAAACTAAATCTGAATTACTCACTTGGTGGGAAGATTCGCAAAACGTCTAACAGAAATCGAAGGATGGAGTGAATCTCCCATCCACGCTTACAACTTAGATTTTCCAAGTTAAAAAACTAAAGTACCTTAGCTTCTAGAAACATGCAATATACCAATGGCCTTTTCTTGCTTTCCTGTTTCGTTGTAAACAGCTCCCTGGCCACTTAAACGATACCGTAAAAATGACAGTAAAAAGTACAAGCTGCCTCCATCTAAAGAAGGCTGAAGACACAACAGAGACAGGACAACCAAGTCAGAGAAAACTGCGACAGCCAGACACTTGGTGGTCTTGGGTCGTGTGTGCGGCTGGAGTCACTTGTAACATCATCGTAATTGGATGCACGTATTGCTTTGGTATTATTTTTCCTTCTCTTCTTGACGAGTTTAAGGCAGGAAAATCCAAAACAGGTAAATAAAGGCTGAATGTCCTTTCTTACATGAAGTTTAAGCCTCATGCATTTAAATGGAGGAGAGGGGAAAGAAAGTTAACCAGGGAAACTAGATTGAGAAGTGTGCAAAGACAAATCATTTGATGAAAGCTAGCTATAGCGGGTGACATATAAGTAAGTGGATCGACACCATTTCAGTTCGTGCATATGTCTTAATTCAAGATAGGAATGATTGCCAGAAATGTACTTCAAAGGAAGAGAAATATACTACAAAAATACCCAAGACCTGTTCCCATCTGGGCTCGCAGCTGAGGCCCTGTCCACACTATCCGGAGGAATTTGAAAATGTAGCTTTATTTCTCCGGTTAAGCCTACCAACCACACTAATCCGTCACGAAAACGGAACTTTTCTAAAACGCCTTGAAACCGGAGGTATTTGAAAACGCCGGCTTTGGACTTTAGTGTGCACGGAAAACATTTTGAAAACGATGGCATCACGATAATCATGTGTTTCCCTGACCGAGTTTTACTGAAACGCAGAAGCAAAATGACCGATGATTGTTGCTTTTTCAAATTCCTCCGGCGTAGTTTGGACGGAAAACATTCTTGATGCGTTTTCAGGTTGAAACCTCCGTTTACAAAATTCCTCCGGCGTGGTGTGGACGACGCCTGAGTCGGCAAAACAACGGATCCCGCGCTTGGAACCAGGGACAGGGTGGTAAAAACACTCATTTCTCTTTCAGCGTGGGTTGGATCTCTGGCAGTGGCATCCGCTGGTCTTTTTGGTCCCGTAGCTGGACGACTCACCGACCGATTTGGCGCACGCGCAGTGGTTATTAGTGGAGCGGTGTTGAGCACCATCGGTCTCCTATTGACTTCTTTAGTTCCCAGTCTTTATCTTATGCTTTTGACTTACGGAGGAATCTTTGGGTGTGGCTCAAGCCTCGTTTACATTGCCGTTTTCGAGATCGTGCCTCGGTATTTTGTGAAGCGACGTTCGTTAGCCACAGGGTTAGTAACTATGAGTACGGGAGCTNTATTCATGGTATTGTTCATTTTTCATCAGGTTCGTAATTTCATTTCATTAGGTTTGTAGTTTATTGGTATTGGTATTGGTATTAGTATTATTATTATCCAACTGCAGCGAATACCATCCAAATAACAATACAAATATACAACGATATTGTACAGTTATTTGTACAGTAGAAAACCTGTTTGCCGGACAGGTCGGCGCACGCATGCAAAACTGTCACACTCTCCCTCTTTCACTGATAAATTTATTGACTAACAGCAGTTGAATAATAAATCTCTTATTAGATGTTTTCGTGTGTATAACACTTTATATTTTTACTCGTTGTTTGTATTTTGACTCACCCTACGGGCCCTACTTATTAGCATTAGCATTAGCATCAGCATTAGTATGAAATACTGCTAGTTACTTGATGCTACAGAAACTAGAGATAAGCGCCAGCCTGATAGGCCACTTGGCTGGTTTGCAAACTTCTCGCAGGTCGTAATAGTTATTGTAACCTAACCATTTGTGTTTCCTTTTTCAGGTTTGGTTGCTGACAAGACCAGGTCGTATTATGCAACTTTTTTTTCTGCCGGTGGCATTGAGACTGTCGGACTGTTAATTTTACTCATGTTTATTTGTCTTAAGAGAGGCGAATTAACAGACAAAAAATTCCAAAACGAAACTGGAAAATCTTCTTTTACAGAACTGCTTGTCATAGACAGCGAAACCGTTTTGTAATTAGCTGTAATCACAGGTGTCCCAAACTCACGATGAGAATCGATCAAATATTAACGGACAAGGTCACTCCAAAAGCTTATTATTTTTGTATTCGCCTATAGCAAGTAAACATCCCGTTTTTCCACTCATTGAAGTTTCAGCCTCTGAAGTGCCCGCTATCCTGAAGAAATTTGTCTCAAAAGAAGCGACTTTGGACGCCGCCATCTTGAAACTGTCTTGGCAGCCAGGCTGTGTTTATGTGACGTCATTCCATCCGACTCGAAATTGCCGGGAAGGAGTGGCATCCATCACAAGGTCTGCAAAATCTATTTTTTCCCTAGCGTTTATCCTCTTCACTATCTTCAATGCTATCATTTCGGAGTTTGGAGCATGTTTGGCTCAAAATAATATGGCTTAAGAGCAGCCATAAGAGTGCTGGTGAAAAGGCTTGTCGGAAGCCATTTGAACAAAATCTCTCGGACGGAATGACGTCAGGAAAACGCGGCCCGGCTGCTGAGTACTGTTCAAAAATGGCGGCAGCGATGTTCGAATTTTGGGCTTATTTAGAGACGAATTTCATAAGGAAAACCTGCACTTTAGAGGCTGAAACTCTGGTGAGTGGCTAAACTTAGTGCAAGGTTTTTATCAACGTTGACAAAAAATATGCGTTTTTTTTAGTGACCTTCTCCGGCTCCTAATGATTTATGTACGCGTATCGAGTGAGACGTGACCACCTTAAGTGTGCGCTGTTGTGTTACACTTTGGGCCGTTGGAAAATTTGAGCTCTCTAAAAGGCATTGTATGGAGTTTAAAATAACGAAAGAAAAAACGCGCAACGCATTAAAATGTTACTTGCTTTTTTTTAATAGAAGAACGAAAATATACACACCTTGCCTGGTTTCTGTTGTCCTTTTGGCCCATTTCATCGTTTTTAGGGGTCTTTTAGGTGTTCGTAGCAGCTGCTACAAACAAGCATAAGTGCGTTTTCAAAGTTAGGCAGCACTTCTGGTCACAAAAACGGCACCTGTCTGAAGTAACTCTAACGTCGCGTTGACTAGCATATGAAACACTTGCTAGTACAATGGACCATATTCGTATTCTCGGTGTTAGACTGGAACTAGCTTACAATGGAGGCTCATGCGGGGGATCATCATTAAAAATCCCAGATCCCCCACATTAGTGTCAGTTGCAAGCTAGTTCCAGTCCAATCCCGAGAATACGAATGTGGCCTATTGATAAAGTCCTCTCAATAACGAGAAGACGGTGAAAGCTTTTTCTTTTACCCTAGTCTTACTTTGTTGGTGACGGTCATAGAGTAGCCTGAAATGCCATCATCACACCTCCCATATAAACGCATTACATAATAAACTTGGCTTGTATGTTTATATTGCATTTTATGTCATGCCATAAAAACTGCAGCCAATCAGAATACTGGAAAGCCGCGGTGTATTTGACGGTACATGTATTACACCCACCCTTCTCATCGTGCTCCGCGCGTATGTCACCTCTCTGTCGCACTGATTCTGGACCATTGTGTTGGCCACTGTATTGTTTATATATGGCATGGTATAAAATAATTATGCAACACTCTCTCGTGGTCGAAACACAGTTTAATATATTCATATAAAGTGTGTGGATCATTGTATAAACGTAGGTCCAAAATGTCACACCTAGAGAAGAAAACAGCTTCATAAGAATTCGTGAGGCCTTGGAAATTCTTTGCCGACGCTCAATCAAGAGCGGAGATTGAACTTCCCGCCCTATACGGTGATGTTTTGGCACGTGACCTGGTTCCCTCAAGCTCATGAAAAATAGATTCCCTCCACATTCACTTGAGAAAGACGCTGTGACAGCGTCGCAAGCTTGTGATCGCTATACTAAAATGAGATAGCTTTGTATTTTTTGACGAATATACATAAACCATTTATTTCCAGCAAAGTGACCATGCTGACATATTTTTCTCCTCGTAAATTTAAAATAATTTCAATAAAAATTTTCTCTATGTAATTTTTCAGCGCGTGTGTCAACATAAATTTGATTTAAGAAATAAAAAAACATGCATCGTGTTTTTATCGAGTTATAGAGACACGATTTTTAACCAATTAGCGCGCGTATTTTCTTAGGGCTGTTTTCTAAATGCAGGTAACGCACATAATGGGAGGACAGAGCACTTCATAAAATGAGATGAGCACTCGAGAAAATTGCTTATAATTATTTGTATATGTCTTTTGCAAAAATTGACAGCGCGAACAAAAACAAATTATGCAAATATCAGGGATTATTTTTGTGAATTATTTCCCTTTTGCCTGTTTCTTTCTCCTGAAAATCCAAGCGGTACCTAGCGCCAGCAGTCGTATTGGAAGATTTTTCAGTCTTGTATTTTAAAATCAGTAGAAAACGCTGTGCGGTGATTGCTTATTTATTAGCGTGATGAAAGCGGGAAGATGGTTTGGTTGAAGGTAAGCGTTATTTATAGCAAATCGAATATGCCTCTCGATTTAATGATTTAACTTACAATTTTGGGGTATCTAATTACAGAGCAAGATAAACAGCATTCCTGTTTTGAAGGCGTTATTGTTTTTCCTTTGTTTGAAAATGAAACCGGTAACGAGCAGGTTGCGCCGGTCTTGATGGGATCTTGTGCTCCTTTCTTGTTGTTCGTGGAAGAAGCTCCAACTACAGCTGTGACCTGGCCTGACAGCGTTTCACGGTGAGTAGACTCTTGTGGTTTAATATATAAGGGACTAGTTTACGTTGTCTTTGAAGCGAATACAGTAACGTAGAAGTCGCTTAAGTCAGTAACGCCATCTTAACTAAAGTAGAAACCACAGTACTGTAAACAAAGGCAAAAACGAATACACAGACGCACATAAACGGAACATAACCGTGTATCGTCACTTTCGTCCATAAACCCATCCTGATTCTTGAGAGAAATTCTGACGAATGTTGTTCTGAAATGATCCAAGAGCTATCAAAATACCAGAAACAGTAAGTACGGAAACAATACTGATGCTGCACCCTTAATTTTATTTTCCATCGCGTGCACACGGCGGGCGGGCGTACAGCACTGCTGGCATCAACAGGGTCTTTGTAATGTGTTTCTAGGCCCCAGTGCAGTATCTTTGAGCTTTCCTACTTGTAGGGGAGCCGCAAAACCCCCATAAAGCCCTCACGTTCTTACAGTAACGCAATAATTAACGACTCGGGGATTATGCTTGTACAGGCTATTTATGCTTCTGTGTGTGTTCAATATCTACTTACTATCATGTTGATCAGGCAATAGCATACTCTCGTTGTGTCTAAATGGCCTTTAGTTACGAGGTTAGTTTGAAAGCGTCCTGTTTGGTAAAAGAAAGGGAAAAGGAGAATAAATCGATGAAAAAACCCGACACTATTGAATTTGATTTTACTGGTGGTGACAGATTATCGCGAGCGGGGATTTCCTTTCGTCTGGCACACGCGTTACGAGCCGATTGTTCAGAGCAATCACGCGATCACGTCCCAATAATCAGTTTAGCACGTGTGGCACGTGATAATCAACCTAAGATTCGATACGAGACATACGTACGAGTATGAACTCTTGAATGAACTTTAGACAACAACAACAGTAAATGACCCTAATATGACCTAAGATCAAGGTGGCTATGGGCCACTCAACTTGGAAAATGGATCGTCTGTAAACCAGAGCAATTGACGGCCCTGAACTGAGTTTTTGATCTGTAGGTCATAGGTACATTACGAGTCCGAGGATTGTTAACATTGTTGAAAACCAAGGTTTGATTTATTACAGTGGAAACTTGTTACAATATTTTGGCTCTATTTCAGGCCCCACTTTCAGACTCATGTGGTTAGATCAAAACAAGTGGACAGTTTATCTATCAAGGCTAATTAGGCCTATAAAAAGCAATGACATAACATGTATCGAGCTAGAGAGGCGATAAGTAAAGGTAATAGGACTGAGTGGAGTCCAATTCGGTCTGTAATCGTATCTATAACAAAGTTCTAGGTCGTGATTGGTTCTGCGCGCGCCTTTTTGTCACTTAATCGGCGCGCGATCACGTAGGTGTCCAATTGCAGGTATCCAATTTCGCAATTGGATACCCATGTGATTCGCACGTCAATTACGCGCGCTTCAATTGCTTCAATTCCTTCTCGATGTTTCCTACAGTTTTTAAAATTTATGAAAAGCGCTACAAAGTTTTTAGCTCAAAAAAAGGTCTCAAAAGGCATTTTTAATTCCGAAATTTGCTATAGATACCATTACATAATTTGTAATTGGACCTGGTGTCGTACAATTCAGGGAGTAATCGTGCTCGTAATTTTAAATCAGCCTCGCGTTTTGAAATTACTCGCGCGATTACTATCTGAATTGTACTCCACTCGTTCCAATTACTATTACTTACAACACAATTTGCGTCACTTACTCAGGTTTCAAAAGGTCGGGTGCAAATATGCATAATAAATTTCTGTTGTTCAGAAGTTCTGTTACTTAAAACTCAGAAAAATAGTCAAAAACAAGTTTTCCTTTTTCCGTGTCTTTGTTGCATTAGCCTTTTCTTAACATCCAGGCGTCTAAACTAAATCTGAATTACTCACTTGGTGGGAAGATTCGCAAAACGTCTAACAGAAATCGAAGGATGGAGTGAATCTCCCATCCACGCTTACAACTTAGATTTTCCAAGTTAAAAAACTAAAGTACCTTAGCTTCTAGAAACATGCAATATACCAATGGCCTTTTCTTGCTTTCCTGTTTCGTTGTAAACAGCTCCCTGGCCACTTAAACGATACCGTAAAAATGACAGTAAAAAGTACAAGCTGCCTCCATCTAAAGAAGGCTGAAGACACAACAGAGACAGGACAACCAAGTCAGAGAAAACTGCGACAGCCAGACACTTGGTGGTCTTGGGTCGTGTGTGCGGCTGGAGTCACTTGTAACATCATCGTAATTGGATGCACGTATTGCTTTGGTATTATTTTTCCTTCTCTTCTTGACGAGTTTAAGGCAGGAAAATCCAAAACAGGTAAATAAAGGCTGAATGTCCTTTCTTACATGAAGTTTAAGCCTCATGCATTTAAATGGAGGAGAGGGGAAAGAAAGTTAACCAGGGAAACTAGATTGAGAAGTGTGCAAAGACAAATCATTTGATGAAAGCTAGCTATAGCGGGTGACATATAAGTAAGTGGATCGACACCATTTCAGTTCGTGCATATGTCTTAATTCAAGATAGGAATGATTGCCAGAAATGTACTTCAAAGGAAGAGAAATATACTACAAAAATACCCAAGACCTGTTCCCATCTGGGCTCGCAGCTGAGGCCCTGTCCACACTATCCGGAGGAATTTGAAAATGTAGCTTTATTTCTCCGGTTAAGCCTACCAACCACACTAATCCGTCACGAAAACGGAACTTTTCTAAAACGCCTTGAAACCGGAGGTATTTGAAAACGCCGGCTTTGGACTTTAGTGTGCACGGAAAACATTTTGAAAACGATGGCATCACGATAATCATGTGTTTCCCTGACCGAGTTTTACTGAAACGCAGAAGCAAAATGACCGATGATTGTTGCTTTTTCAAATTCCTCCGGCGTAGTTTGGACGGAAAACATTCTTGATGCGTTTTCAGGTTGAAACCTCCGTTTACAAAATTCCTCCGGCGTGGTGTGGACGACGCCTGAGTCGGCAAAACAACGGATCCCGCGCTTGGAACCAGGGACAGGGTGGTAAAAACACTCATTTCTCTTTCAGCGTGGGTTGGATCTCTGGCAGTGGCATCCGCTGGTCTTTTTGGTCCCGTAGCTGGACGACTCACCGACCGATTTGGCGCACGCGCAGTGGTTATTAGTGGAGCGGTGTTGAGCACCATCGGTCTCCTATTGACTTCTTTAGTTCCCAGTCTTTATCTTATGCTTTTGACTTACGGAGGAATCTTTGGGTGTGGCTCAAGCCTCGTTTACATTGCCGTTTTCGAGATCGTGCCTCGGTATTTTGTGAAGCGACGTTCGTTAGCCACAGGGTTAGTAACTATGAGTACGGGAGCTGGATTACTTGTAATGAGCCCAGTGTGCCAGGTTTTCATTGATGCATTTGGCTGGAGAGGAGCCTTTAGAGGCATGACTTGTATCGTTTTCATCATTCCCTTCATCGGCTGGGTATTGGATCCTAATGTGGCAAGCGACCAAGCCGAAAGAAGTGTTCAAGAAAGTGAAGAGTCTAAAGCAGGGCAGAGAAGTCGAATTCTGGATTTGACAATGTGGAAAAATATTACCTTTGTCGTCCTGAATATAACATACGTTTTTGTATACATTAGTCACTCCATACCTCCTGTCCTTCTCGTAAGTAATCGATTGATTTGTTGGATTTTAAAAACAAATTACTAGCAAATGACACCATCAGCTGACACCTGGCTGACACAGGTCGCCTACATGAGGCTATGATGTCAATAAAAAAGAAGGGGCGAAAAATTTTCAATTGTTACTTTGAAAATCTGTAGTCACAGCGTTTAGAACACTCATATTACAAGCATGGTGAGAATTGCAAAGTTGCTTATTCTAGAAATCAGTGTTTCTTTTTTTCTCACTCGCTCTGGAATCGGCTGGAGACTGAGCACTGAGTTTCCGTCTTGCTCTCGGCCAAGCCCAGAATACTTTCCGTAGAAGGCTGACGCGCAGGAAAAGTCTCTGGGATCCAGGAAACTGATCTCCCTGTATAAGACGATCGCTCTTTTTTGCACATACAACGTAAAAACATAATAAGTAACATTTCAAAGTGGAAGCCACCAATCAGCCTATCTGTAGGTTCACTATATCGCATCACGCAATCAATCCAAATCAAGAAATTATCTCTTGATCCAAATATATTCCATCCCATTTCCTAGGCCCGGTACTGTGAGGATCGTGGTATCGCCGCTGACTTGGTAACCTGGCTTTATTCGTCCATTGGACTGGCAAGTCTCGTGGCCAGGATATTGGGTTCCAAGCTTTGTGACGTCATGAGTCCTCCAAGAGTGTTCCTCATATTTGCGACAGTCGCTACAGTGGCGACTATGATGTTGCCCTTAGCAACCAACTGGATGTGGCTTCTTTGTTATTGCATAGCTTATGGTCTTGCAGATGGCCTGATGACGATTGGAATAATTCTTTCAGGTTTGCAAACCCTTACACAGAAACAAAAAGCCCAAGGATTTGGTTTTCAACAGTTGTGTATTAGCACGGCTTTCTTGTACGGCCCACCAATTGGAGGTAAGCCTCAGAGGTGGAATACCTTAATTCCAAGTTGTAACAAGATTAAATTTGGCCAAAAGTCTATAAAATGAAGAATACAGACTTGTGATGTAGCACGTCTGAGTAGCTTCGTAATGGATAACTTCTCCCCCGCTAACTTATTTTCTTGTGTTTTCCCTTGTCCTCTTTCTTTAATTTTGAATTAAGCAGCTTAATTTTGAGACTCGTTTCTTTCAGCTGGAACAACTGCTTTTGGGAAGTAAAATAAACCAAACCCCCTTGAAATCAGGGAAAATGAACATCTAGGAAGAGAGGGGGGGGGGG